TTGACAAGGGCTGGGGTCCCTTCCAGCTCTGCAGTTCTACGATTATAAGTTTTTAAAAAATAGCTATACAATAGGACATATGGATTTTAAAAAACCTCAAAATCCCATGCCTAATATCCACTGTGGAATCCAGTGTAACACAGTAGATTGCAGGGTGGATTTGATTTAAATCATGATTTAAATTTTAAAAATCTGATATTTTTGATTATTTAAATCAAAACAACTAATTATTTTATTTAAATTATTATTTAAACCAATTTGATTGTTCAAAAATCATTTATTTTCATCAACTCTGGTAGACTGTAGGCTGTATTTAGTATTATGGGCTTGGCACTGACAAGACTCACTGACTTCAGGATTAACTGGCGGCATTCAAGGGTTCTCCTCTGCTGACGGTAGGCGCCTTTGAGGCAGGGGAGGTTTCAATCAGTAGAATTGGGAGGAACTTTTGCTGCCCTCCTCCAACACCTTGCTGCACTTGCACCCCCAGAGAATTGGTGAATATTTCAAAAACAGCAGGGGAGGTAGCATGGAGGGCAGGAGGAAGAAAAGGAAGAAGCTTTGCCTCCTTGTTCCACTGTCGAAATCATCTACTAAACCAAGCAGCATTCCACCAACAGAGCTACATTGTGGGATACAAATCCTGCTATCTCAACAGCATCCTGTGCTACATTTAGGACTGCAGTTTACCTATTCCTCTAATTAAGAATGTTTATTATACTACATGGAGGTTCGTGCTCCATCTCATGTGACAACAATCTGTCAAGCAGCTACTAGTCGGCAGCTACTAGCAGTTACTTTTGGTAAATTCCAGAGAAGGGGACTCAAGTTTCAGGACTCGCTGTCAAGTTGGACGTAAGTCACACTGGCAACTCGACTAAGACTTGATTCCCCCCGCCAACGCCGCCCCCAATGACTTGGACTTGACTCACAGCTATGGACCCACCCGCCCCCTGCCCTTTTTTTTTCCTGGTGAAAAGAGCTTGTCTTTAATAGGGACTCAGGCTTGGGACTTGGTACCAATGACTCAGGCCCAAACACTTGCCAACATCCTGACTTATTTTGTAAGCCACGCAGAGTAGTGGCATGCTCACTAAATGGGTGAGGTATAAATCTAAATAAATAAATAAATTAATTAATTAATAAATTAATAAATTAATAAATAAATAAATTCTGCAGCACATCACTTTCAAGACAGTGATGTTGCTGAACAATCCTGAAAGGCATTAAGGGTGTACTTAAAGCAAATTGGCTTCCCACTAATAATCAAACAAGAGTATGTGCTTATAGGAAAAATCTAAAATAAAACAGAAAGCTATATTGAAGCCATTAATATAAATAGGTTTCTCTGTTGTTGTTTTGATGAATTTGAATTATCATTACTATTGTTCTAATAAAATTAGTCATGGTTTGGTGACAGAACATTACTAAAACCACAGTTCTATGAACATCCATGTAAAAGTGACTGTTAAATTTCTGATTTACTGATAGAAATGTATTTGTCGGTATGTATTTAGCCTTCAGGGGAAAGACAAAGTATGCATTCTCTTTAAGAGAAGACTGCTATTTCTGACTACAATATCTATGCATTACAAAAACAAGCAACCTATCATATTATTTGCCACACATACTACCTGCACTCATGCCATTTTACAGGAAAGATTACAGTGCTGGCTAGAGAGCTCAGTGGTTTAGGAATCCGGCTGCAGAGCCAGAGATGGGAGTTCAATTCCCTGCTGTGCCTCATAGAAAAAGAGCCAGCCCATATAGACATGGGTAAGCTGCAAAGTCTGAGAGCTGCCCCTAGAAAAACAGAAGGGTAAATCACTTCTGAGTACTGTATTCTCTACTAGAATATCCTGGAAAGGGTCACCATAAGTCAGAATTGGCTCGATGGCATACTGTTACTCTTGTTGTGTCAGTCCAGTTTAGTGTGCAGCCATTGAGAGATTAATGCTTTGCACAAGCCTCTGGCATTGCACATTGTATCCTGTCAAACAGGAAGTGAGAACCAAGAATAGGAAGCATTCTGGCATAATATATTCTTGAAAATATAATTCATTTTTAAGGAACATCACATGACTCTAGTTTCAAGGCTGAGAACATGATATCAGTACCTATGTGTCCAGAGGCTAGCTGAAGAGAAAAAGCTCTGGCAAAGACACAAGGTTGGGAAAACAATTTCACTTACATTGCCCTCATGCCGGTCAATACAAGCAATAAAGACCAGTGAGGGAAGCACAGAGGTCATGGCTGATACACCAGAAGGACAAAAATAATATGCTAGGTAGTGTTCCATAAGGCTATTATACACTCTAGCTATGTGCTATAGACAGTGACTACCCTCACTCTAGTTTGAATCACTGTCCTACTGCTCACCAAATCAAGTGACTAAGTAGAGAAGGTTAAAACCAACTGTAAATTGTGAAAAATGCTGCACTTGGGTATACATGTTGTCCAGACACTTTCACTGGAAAGCTAAACCAGCAACTGCCTTGGGAAAGGAAAAAGTATAGTGCTATAACTCAAAACTAGAGACGGTCAACCAACTGTCAATTTTTAAAACAAAGGACAAAAAGAGCTAAAAAATATGGATCTCTTATGCCAAACATAAGAGAGAAAATCTTTTACATCAACGTGGCTTTAACTTAAATGAATAGTTGTGATTTCAATTTCCTCAACCACTTATTAGTTAAAAGCCATGTTAAATTCCAATTGCCAGTTATAATTACTTTTGGGAGGGGTTTTTTATGTTATAGAAATTGTTCCTTTGATCGGTCACAATATGCATAAATTGAATCATTGCTAAATTAAATTGTCCTTTTTATGCTAGATATGATTAAGCAAACTAATTTTGCCCAGCATAACAAGCACAGAACTGTTTGTCCTAAGCAGCTGGCTATGGCAAATACACAGAGTTTGCTTGTCTCATCAAAGATATACCTCAACATGTAACACAACTGCCAGGTTTCAAAAAACAACTCCTGTTTGGGGTTATTCTGGCCAGAGTCCATTCAAGATTTTGAAAAGCAGCTCTACTGGTTAAATGGCATTACACCTCAGGTTCTTAAGCCACTACAAAAATAAAAAAAGCTCAATCTTTATTATGTTACCTCAGCATTGTAACAAAACTGCGCCTTAGTGAAGTCTAGACTTTAGAGGAATATTGACTTAGATGTTTTATCAGAAAGATTTAATTGTCAAGGGTGAAAAGGGCTTTTCTTGTTTATAGTTCTGATGGCATAGAGATTTTAATATACACATAGTTAACCCTGCCTACAAACAACACAAGGGCTGTGGAGAAAACTGGTCAGAGCTCTCCTATTAAATTATGGTTCCTGTAACTAAGCAGCATTTCAAAAGAAGTGGGTGGCCTCGTAAGAATTATCCTGAGGGGATACTCTACTGACTGTTAGCCACACTACTATATTTCTTCAACTACTTGGGAAATTACAACAATTAAGATTCATTAGTGCATCAAAACTTCAGTCTTCTGCTGACTGGCTAAGCTGAGGAGAAGCAGATCTGGCTCTCCTGAGACTCCTGTGTGCCTCCTGAAACTTTTCTGTAGGCAATGACACAAGAAAAAAACAGAAAAGACACAATTTCGGGCCTTTTTTGGTGGCAGCTCCTAGATCATTTTATAATCATCACCCGACTACTGTTTTGACAGTAAGAAAGTGCAATGGGCATTTCGGCAAGAAAAATAACAAATATTCTCCAACAGGGGAGGCGGAACTCAAATGGAAACATGTGCCTCATACACTGCTTGGACTGAAGATTATAAAATGCAGAAGGAAAGCACTCGCTCGCTCGCTCTCCTCTTCCCACACAGCTGCTGACACAGACGAAGCCATAAGGAAAATACAGCTCCAGACGCCTTCCTCAGCCTCCACACGCCAATGCAAAAAGTTCCCAGACACAACTCATACCCACATGTAATACCTAAAAGATTAAAAACGAAGGCATTCACAAGCACAATCCCTTCAAAACGCCAAAAGGAGTGTCATCTGGAATGGAAAGGTACGTGATTGTCTGAACGCCGCCTGAAGTCAAAGAAGGGAACAAATGTCTGGGTAAACCCCCAGACAGTCAAACTTTTTTTTCCCCTCAGAAGTCTGTTTTGCCAAGTGTTACGTTTCACAAGTCAGGCAAGTCTCTCTCCCCCACCCCCGTCAGCCCTGCACTCCTCCCCCGGATCCCCCGCCCGCGCCTTAAAACTTTAAAATAAAAGGAAAGAAGATCTCCTCCTCTCCCCCCAACACACCATCACAACCCCCACTCCAAACCCGATGCCAAAAGTTTGATTCCGCCTGTGATCGACACCCGACACCCGCAGCTCCGCTCCTCCAAACTCCAGGGAAATCAGTGCCTCTGAGAGCCGCAAAGCACTAGGAAACGGGGCGGAGGGGAGAGAGAGAAAGACTTTTGTCTCGCTCTCGAGGCATTTAGACTGAGGCTGGAAAGCCCAGCAAGCAAAAGGCGTCCAGGGCCACCAGGGGGGGAAAGAAAGCGCCCCCTAAAAGCCGCATTTATGGGGAGCGAGGATAGGCACCAGGCAAGCGCCCTCCCTGCTCGGAAGAAAACTTCAACGTTCCTGGCAGGCAGCTCTGCTTCCTTCGTTTTCCCTCCGTCCCATCTGGCGTAGGTCGGTCTCTCTCCCACACACTTTTCCCCCCCGCACCATGACTTTCCCTACAAACCGGCCCCCGGGATCCCCCTCACGACAACCACCCACCCCTCCAAGTCACTCCCCA